AGGGAAAGATACATCTATTCTAATACATATAGATAAATTGCATTATGAATGAAAGCTTTAAAAACAATGTAGCTAACTTACCCTCATTTGCCTTTTTACTGAGCTCTGATCGTGTTTCTTCCAAAATAATATCTAATTGATTTATCTGCATTGCTTTGTCTTCACCATCTTGTTTTAATTGCACTACTTCATTTTCCAGACTAGTAAGTTTAGCCTTGCACTGATCCATTTCCACTTTAATCTCGCTGATTAAGAGAAGCAAGCAGAGCAAAATGTAATTAATCTAGTAATATCAAAAGCAACATATATATAACCTTATATGTTCTCAGAAGACAGATGCACTTGTGAATAGCTTTATACTGAAGAATCCATTGGGGTTCTGTTCACGGATATACAATAGATTTACTAGGGATCCTGCTAATTTCAATTAAAGAAGTTAAAAGAAAGTTGTTCAGGGAAAGATTACAGTACTTAATTGTGATTGTTTTTACTCACAATTAGTTAGGCCAAGTAAGTGAAACAATGACAGGAATTTAAAAAAAAAAAAGTTGTGTTGGGTAACGCTTCTTGCAATCAGAAGTATATTCTGTGAGACTAAGTTCTCCTAGAATTTAGCAGCTAATATTACAAGCACCTTCATAATACAATTCAATTCATAAATATATCAGGTACTGTCTTAAGACTAAGTTGTTTGGACATGCATTTACTCAATTTGAAGACTCTTCCAGAACCTCATGTTTAGGAGATTAGAAACTTTTCTTCTGATTTCCAGGCTGTGCTCATACAGAGACTGTACAATTACATAGCTGGTACCATTTCAGCAACAGTTTACTAATGAACAATATGTGCAACTATAGAACATACCACTCAGTTATTCTAAACCTACCTGATTGTGCTACTAAGTTCAGCCACCTTTTGTCTTTTTAAATCTGTTTCCTGAGAAGCTAGGCGAAGTTTCTCCTCTGCTTTTCTCAATTCATCTTCTGCATATGTTTTCTGTTTCTGAAGCTCTTGTTCTAAGTTAGATACCTATTTAAAATTGCATTAAAAATGCTGGCACTTTTAAATTACATTTCAAAGAAATATGCAGCCTTGTCTTGCAACCAACACTGAGAATTTTAAGATTGTTTCCTTAAAGTCTAAAGATGCACATAATTTAACACCAGAAATATGCAGTCATATTTGAAAGACAAGTTGTCTCTAGCACATATTGCTAGGCTCAATTTTCTCAATTTCAATATATCTCTAGCTAGTTCAAGTCTAAGGTTTGATTTTTTCAAGTATTCAGCCACTGTAGTGCTAGTTATGTAGAAGAGAATCTGGTAACAAAAAAAATAACTAGATCTGAAATAACTGCCATCATCTCAGTAAGTTATCAAATAAACATTCAGATTCTAAGATGTTACAAAACACACAAAAGCATTTAAATATCTGTCCTTACATATGCTATTCTCATGATACTGTACCTGCTTTTCAAGTTTAATTTGATTATCTTCCAGCTCTCCATTTCTAATAGTTTCTTGTTGTAACATTTGCTGCTGATGATGCAGACTTTGTTGGAGGACAACATTTTGTTCACTCGTGTCCTGAAGATTTTGACTTTTCAGCTTTATTTCTTTTTGTAACCAACAAACCTGAAAATATATTCACTTTCTATTACAATTTCCTTTCGTGCTAATTCATCATTTAGCTATGTTTTTAAAGTATAGAAAGAAGTCACCAGTCCCAGTCTTTTAATTCCTGCTTTCTAATGAGATCTAAATGGGTCATATTTTAAGAACAAATATAAACAAGAATTTTCATTTATAAGTCACTATTCCTGTACAAAACTCAGGAGGTGAACCACCTTCCTTTCTATTACCCTTCCTGCTTTATTTCTCAGAGTCCTTTTTCCTCCTTGAAATCTGTCCTCAGCCCTTCCCTAAAAAAAAAAAATCACTAACTGTTCACTCTAAGATAGAGGTAGTAACTCTTTTACTTATGAAAATATTGGTCACGATTGCAAAACTTCAGTTGCTACCCTTGAGTATAACAGAGTATCTAGTCTTTTCATATGCAGCATGACAGCAATTAAAAAAAAAAAAAAAAAAGAAAAGTTGTGTTAGGTAACTCTTCTTGCAATCAGAAGTATATTCTGTGAGACTAAGTTCTCCTAGAATTTAGCAGCTAATATTACAAGCACCTTCATAATACAACTCAATTCATAAGTATATCAGGTACTATTTTAAGTATGGAAAGTATGATAAAATTCAATGGTTGGAATTTGAAAAGTTTTCTCTTGCCCAGATTTTTTCCCTAGTGGGGCACTCAATACAAACAAATCAATCGTATACACATAACTTTATACAGCAATAGCTATCTGCCTCATTTTCCAAGATGGTGCTTTGCTGCAATTAATCTTGATTGTTTTACTTCTTTCAGCACCTTTTTTTCGCATGATATTTCTTAACCTTAAGCTTATTCAATGTCCTCTAGTCATGGTTTTTATTCTTAGCTTCACAAAACATAGACTTTTCTTAGCTTCCTTCCAGTGCACAACTCCTGCTACAGATGTTTTGTCTCTCTTTTCAAAAACAAACTTTTATATTATATCATTCATAACAGCAATTTTCTCTGTAATACAGAAAAGCTATTAAAACAAGCCGTTACCTCTTCAGATTTCTTTTTAAGCTGATTTTCAAATATCTCCTTACTTTCTTCTGACTGATTCAAATACAGTGCAAGTTCTTCCTTACATATGTCCAATGCTGACTGAAGTTGTCTCACCTAGTTACATGTAACAGACCACTTCTAATTAACAAATTTCTGATTAACAAGTTGGAAGTCTACAAAAAAAGTTTAAAAACATCTTTACGTAAAATGCCTGAAAAAGTTACATTTTACTCTAAGTAGTATTAAAACAAGCCTGAAATACTATGATAAACTGCAAAGGATTGAAATAACATTTAGAAATGAAAATTATTTATGAAATTACAATATTTCAAGATTGTGTTCAAAATCCCAGAAGACTACCATATTGACAAGATATTCCAGTATGTGTCAATAGCTAGAATTTAAAAAACAAGCATATGTACAATACCAAGTTACTTACATGCCATGTTTTATTACATATTAAGTATTATAAAAAGAATTTTATTTGTAAATTTGAAATGGTCACCATATATAAATTGTGACATTTGAAAGAATGAGATTCAGATCTTAACGTATTACCCTGTTCTCTAAAAGGCTAGAGAGCATATATTTTTGTTTTATGCTGTGAGAGACAGTGCCTGACTCACCAGAAAGGAAAGCAACAGCTTTAATACAAAACATGCAACATAATTTCTTATGGTAGCAATGTCAATAGTAAATTATCTGGATTTGTATTTGCTGTTAATTTGGATTTGAGTAATCTCAAATAAATACTTTGTGATCTTGCACAGACATAAAAATTATAAAGAAAAGATCTCCAAAGATCCTAAGCCACAGAATAAGGATTAATCTTTTGATTTGTGACTAAACTTTTCCTGCTGTTTAGTTTCAGCACTAAGAAGACATTTCCCATCAATCCATTTCAACACCAATTGTGTGGATAAGCTTTGGTGGATGGGCTAATGCTTTCAATGCTACCAATTTACTAAACCACAGTATATCACAATCTTCCTTAAAAACACATAAATAAAGTAGTTGGAAGGTTTCCAAAATTTCTACATGAGACAAATTTCTATTAAGTAGCCTATAATATAACTTGTCTATAAGGATAGAATGAACTTCATTATTGCCATTTAAATAATATTAATTGAAAATTACAAGAACTTACTAACTTTGATCGTTTCTTCAGTTAACTGGCTTTGCAGCATCTTCAGTCCTTCATTGTTCTTTACATTTTGTTTTTCCATTTCCTGTTTGTGCACATTTTTTGAAAGAAACAAAATATTAATATAGTTGCAGTAATAAAAGTTAATGTGATAAAAACTCATACTAGAAATCAGGAAAAATATCACTGTATTCGAAACACAATTGCTTTTATATTGGATTTGTGTACACCATCCTTCCAAGGGATTTTGGCTCCTAGTAAGTATTCCTTTATATTCAGCTGTGAAGAGGAATTCTAAAAAGAGCGTAGATTGACATCTTCTTAGTTCCCTGCCTGGTGCAGAATAGATACAATAGCTCTGTTACTGGACCTCTTTCCTGTGATTGCAGCAACAAACCCAAGGTACAACGCCAAGCAATAAACAGAATGCTGAGAGAGCAAGCAATAGAGAGTAATTAAAATTTGTAGAATTTAGAGTAGCTTTGGGACTAGATTCCTTCGATGACTCAAAAAAAGAAAAGAATTAAGAAAGAGCAAAGAAAAAAAAAAACTTTCATCTTTCATCTCTCTACATTTTTTTACATGTCCTTGGATATGCTTTTCATCCCTAAATGTTACTCTGTTGATTTGGATTTTGAGGAAAACAAGACCTTACCTCTCTGCTTTCTATCAGCAGTTCATCCAATGATTCAATGTGATGTTGTTTACATATAACATCTTGTTGTAAAATAGACATTGTTTTTTCTTGTTCAATGAATTGTTGATGTTTCTTATCCAGCTGCGTCTGAAGCTGTCCATAAACATTTATTCACTTATTATTTTAATAAGCTTTTCCAGAGAACTATGCATCTAATTGTGTCACTCAATTCCCTTCTCCCACCATCTTGAAAATGAAAAGTGATCAGACTCATGCTATCATTAGTATATTATAAACATCGAGAAACACCAAATATTTAAAAACAATAGGAGAAGCAAAAAGAATCAGGGTAGGCAGAGTAACTGTTTATATTGTTATCAGAAAAAAAGACATACATCATACAGCTCTTCTTTAGTAGAATGCCATGAGCTGCTTTAACAGCTAGCCAAAATTATATTTTGAAACACATAAAACAGGAATTCTTAAATAAAAGACTAAAAAATCTTAGCAAGGATTGTTGCTGACCAAGATGCTTATAAGACTCAGCTTGGCAAAGGTTCAGCAAACAAAGGAATAGTGAGAGAAGCTATCACTTTCTGTTCTAGATGGTTTTCTTTGGACCTAAGAGGATTAGCACTCTTCCTAGGCCTGCATTCTCTTCAGTTTGCCCTTGCACACCTTCCCTAGTGTGCAGGTGATGGTTTTATGGGGAATGACTTGCAAGGATTTCAGGGGATTACGGGAAGATTTTCCTGTGGAGGATATCTGGCATCCTGTTTTGAATAGGGAAGAGGATATTCATATCTCAGACATTTATATTGTGACATTGTTGCATGTTAAGAGAGAAAATAAACTAAAAACAGGAAATGCAGAGAATGTTAATTGGCTGTCTGCCTTAGAATTGCTGAGCAAAAAAGAAATTATTCAATATGGTTTAAAAGTTACCAAGTATATCACTCACAAATATTAGAACAAACAGTCTTACTAGTTCAATCTGTTTCTCCATCTCTTTATGCTGCTCAAAGTGAATCAATTTTGCTTTTTCAAAAGCTGAAGCAATTTGCTTACGTTCTTCACTGACAGTTCTTTCCAGTTTATCAATGTAGCTCTTCTTTTCCTGTGAAATGGCAACAGAAATACCTTGATACAATTATTTAGCTCTGATACCAAATAGTATATTGCTTTAGTATTTTCTGTGTTTTATGAAGTCTAGGAACTTGATTACAAAGTTATACACAGCATTTTTACTACACACACAGACAGAACGTCTGTGAAGCTGGACCACTGTCACAGATTACAGCAACTGGAGGAAGGAACTTCTGAAAAAAGGAAATTTTAAGTTCACATAGATGTATTTTTAATTTTTTTTAATAAAAGTTTCCATTTGAGAGATTGTCTTCTTTTCTATCAACCTTAGATTCTCATTGCTTAGGAGTGTATATGACAATACTGTCAGAATTTAATGATCCATATGTGACACTATCTTCCTCATTGTTTCCCATTTACTTTTTAAAAGTAAGATTTTAAGACATTTTAAAAATGTGTTCCTTAAAAATATGCAACAGAGGGAAAAAAAAAACACAAAAGTGAAGCAGTTTGCCCAGTGCCACATTTAACATTTGAAATCCACCTCTGCTCTTACCATAATAATTGCATACAGCATACTGGCTTGTTAATTTCAGAAAAAGAAAGAAGGCCAGCACTGTACATTACTACTTTTCCCATGCTCTTTTTTATTTGTCCTATACTCCAAATCAATTGTGTATACATTACTTTAAGAGTAACTTTGCTCTAATGCAAAAATTAAATTTAATTAGTATTACATTTAGAGCTGAAAGGACAGGAAATACAGAGTTTTTAATAATGAGGATAAAATTCTGGTCACATGGAAAAAAATGGAAATGCTACCAAGGATTTTGACAGGACTAGGTTTTCATTTCACATGTAATCAAAAGGAAAGAAAAAGTAGTATATCCATTAATAAATTAGTATTTGTGTTCAAATGGTTAAAAAAAAAAAGTTTTATTTGAAGTGAAATTATTCAAGCATTTAAAACTCCAGTGCCTAAAAACTGAATGGAGTGCCTAACAGATCTGAAAATCTATCCATTTTGAATATGTGTAATATCATTTTAACTTAAACTTTAATCTCCATTTATTTAATTTTACACAGATGAAGTTTCTCACAGAGAATATCTTACCATGAGTTCTTTTTCCAACTCGGTACTTCTTGCTGCAGCTGACGAATAAGCAACAGTCTTTTCTTCCAATTGTTTCTCAAGTGTAGAGAGCTGAGAAGATTTCTTCGCAATCTAAAAACAAATATGGCATAAAACACTGAAGAAAATTATTATGGATTTATTCAAATATTCAAATTGACTTAAAAATTAATATGACAGTTACAGTTTTCCATAAATATTGTCTTAACTATCTTTGATTACTAAAGAAAGGAAATAGTGGCACATTTGTAATGGCACTAACAACTTACTTCTCGCTGTAAGTTAGTAGTTTTTGAAACCTTCTCCAAGAGTTCTTCTTGTATGGTCTGAAACTGACTGGCTCTCTGGGCCATGCTGGTTTTCAAAGAAGAGTTCTCATAATTAACTTTTGTAAGTTCAGTTGCTAACTCTTCTATCTCTTTCTTGAATCTTTGCCTCTCCTTTTCAAATTGTTTGCTGATAAGTTCCAACTGTTGACATTGTCTACTCTCTCAAAATTAGACAAACATAGGATTCATTTACAGAAGAGCATACAAATAAGCAATCAAGTTAAAATCACACATCCAATCAAAAAAGAAATAGAATTTAACTGTGGCATGTTGAATTAACAAATATACTATTCAGAAACAAAACTAACATTTTCCTCCTCCAAAATATCTGCATACTATGAGTCGGGAAAAAAAAAATTAACACAATAAAAAAAATGAAGGGACTCCCCTGAAATCATTTTTTGTACAGTACTAACAGTGACCGCAGAAGCGAAATTAATTCAGTGACAGCAGAATACAGACAAAAGAATCAAAGAAAATATGTAGACCTTGACATAAATAGCTTAAACAAAAAAGACATATTTCAAGTAGTTTGTGGCTAGAACATACAAAAAGTTGAATGAGCAACTTTTAACTCACAAAAATAAAACAGCAGTAAAATATTGTGCCTGGAAGATACCACAATTTCCAGAAGAAAATACTAGAAAAGCAATTTAAACCTCACAAAAATTTGAACTCCTATTCTGTGGTTTAATGAGAAGGAATTGTGCAGCTAGTTCAGAAGGTTTACCTGCTTGATTTCCAGTCAATTTGACAGGCTCTGTTTCTAGGACACATAGTCTGTTACTTTCTTGTCCTTCATTATCATTAGAAAGATGCTCAGCTATCTTACATACAGTTAAGTTTGTGTGAACCTTTTGAATTTCTGCTTCTTTCATTGCCCATTTCAGTCTATGACAAAAACGAAGGTAAGAATTTAATATTCTCTGTATGCACTAGTTCTAATATCTCCTAATTATCTACCTATTCTTGACATAATTCAGTAATCAGAAAGTTATACCTCAGGTCCGCAATCAAAGATTTATTTATTTCACCACAAGAGTCTGGGAGAGCTTCTTTTGTGGATGAACTGGGCAGCTGATGTTTCCAGTGGTGCCATTTGAACTAAAAAAAAAGTTAAGGGAAAACGAAAATCAATGCAAAATTGACTTTTTATTTCACGGCATGATTAATTTATGTATTTTACTAGCATATAATTTTAAGACAAACATGCCAGGATGTTAACCTGACCTTTAAAATTCTTCTCCTAAGTGAATGGAAACTAGAGGCATCAAGTCCCCCTGAGGCCTCTCTTTAAGATCTATTTATAGGCACTGAAGTGAGAGCATTTTTGCCATGAAAGATTACAGATACAAGAAATTTCACTTCTTAATCTCCTCACATCTTACTTCTTTTCAGATTTCCATGACTTCATTAAACACTATTTTTACTCCTCACTTTTCAGAGGGCTTCTGAATATTCCATTAAATTACTGAATTGATCCCTATTTTTCCAGAAATAGTAAATAATTTGTTTTCCAAAAAGGACCACAAAACAATTCTTTAAGGACTATCTAAATAAACCTCTACAGTTATAAAAGACAAAAACATCATGCTTCATACAAAATTACTATACTCTGTAGCAGAAGCCCAAAATCACAAGGGAGTATACTTTTGATTTTGTTTTCAGCTATTCACATTTATACTTTACAAATAAAGAGCTCTTGATCTTGAATGTTCTTCTCTCTATCTCTGCTGTCTACCTTGGCTTCCCAAAAATTCCTCCAATAACTCCAGTCACAACTCGGTGTTTCTTTACCTGGCTTTCCCAACCACAATCAGTTTAGTTACAGAGTTCACCAGTGCAAGTCTCAGGCTGATAGACCAAGCTTTATTACGTTAAAACAAAAGTTAATTTTCAGTCAGAGAAAGGGCATATTTTCTTTACAAGCAAAAAAAGATACACAAACACACACACACGTATGAGACTGCCATATTGTTCAGCTGAGAGACACTTCATTATCACATAGGAGGATATTTACAGAGGGCAGAGGGACAGAAAGCACGATTTTAAATGCATACTCATTAACCAACTCCAAAGCACCTATTCCTCATTCTTGAACATAGCCAAATATTTCATCCATGCATCTTGAAAACAAAAGAAACTGTACTCATTATCCCTGCAGAACTTTACAGAATTTTCATGCAGCACAAGTTAGAATTGTTTAAGATACACAATACCACTTACAATTACATATATGGTACTGTACCTCTTCAGATGTACTTAGAGACAACTGGGAAATAATAGTTTCTAGTATGCTGAGCTCTTTCCTTGAATCCTCAATTTCTTGATGACATAATTTCAGGTGGTCGTGTTGCTGTGCTGTAAGTGCTTTCAGCTCTGCATTTTCAGTTTTTAAAGCATTTTTCTCTTTAAGTATTATTTCTTTGTCCCCAAGTTCTCTCTCAAGCTTGAGGATCTTCTGATTGGATTGTGTCAGCAGGGATACTGTTTCAGCATTCTTTGCCTCTAGATTCTTAATTCCTTCTTTTGTGCTATGGTTCTCTTCCCTTGATTGCCTAAAAGAGTACATAAATACCCAAAGGTATAGCTAAACGGAGTAGAGTAGGATTCTCATTATTAAAAGTACTAGGAGAAGAATGAGACATAAATATACTGCTTCTTCATTAGTTTCCTCACTCTCGAAATGTAGGATTAGTTCCACACAAAGGACGGAGTTTTTATAGCTTTGCTAAGTTTTCACTCTTCCTAAGGACCAGGATTCAAACTGCTGTGGGGTCCTCAAAGTGCCCACCTTGGGTGATATGGCCTAGCGAGTAACAACTGCTAAGACAAGATGAACGAGGATGATGTGTGTGAATGAGGCACCCAAAGTTGTCTGAGACGATGTTTGCACAAAACTGATAATGCCAGAGGAAAGCCATCAGTAACATTAATAGTAATGAAGGAATTATAAAATAAACTTCTGAAACAAAGGAGAAATTATCTTGAATAGAATATACAGAAAGCATGACAGCTTTTGACAATAGGAAAAGATTTTGGGGTGGGAAAGGAGCAACAGTCAAAACCTGTTTTGACACTGTCAGAAGTTGTCCTGCCTGCATCGCAGCCTCTGCTCAGACCTGAATGCAGCCTCCTCAACAGATGACAAGAGCAGCCTGCCCCACAACTAGTGGTATGGGGTGCTGCTGTATGGGATACAGCAAGTAGGAACCCACACCAGGGGTGCATCTAAGCACATTTGCAGGGTGCTTTTTCACTGCCATGGACACTGGCAGACTGTAGGGAGCAGAAGAGATACAAGGCCAGAGAACCCACACTCTTGCAGGAACTCTATGGAAGTAGGGGGACCTACACTCCCAAAAAAGGAGTGGGGAGGGGAAATTGATTATCTGAAATGCTGATCCTGGTTTGGTTTAAACTGTATGAATTGGAAAGTAGTTTCTCAGAGAAAGTTGTAACATGCAATTTCTTCTCAAACAACTGCACAGATTTCTAAAAAATATTTGCCTTACCTTAGCTGCTCTTCTAGAATTTCTAAATCCTTTCTGTAGCCTACACACTTTTCATTCAGCTTCTCCTTTTCTTTTTCACAATTAATTAAATGTTTTTCCAAGACTTCTTCTTCAGCTTGAACCTTAAAAAGCAACATTTCTTTACTAATAATCTAACCTTCCATGGCCAATTGGCTTTTTAAAAACATACTATAAACAGTATACTGCTGCTTCTTCTTTTTTCCTTGTAAGCAGTACATAATTCTATTGTTCACAACTTCGAAGGAGATAATACTGCTTTTCCCAAATATCAAAAAATATATATATTTTAGCTTAGTATTTTTAGGACAAGATATTTAGGCAAAGTCCTCTCACAAAGAAAGAAGTCTAACCAAATCAAAATTCTCCTTAAAAGGTAATTCCCTCAAGTGTGAAGACTTTCTACCCTCCCAGGTGAGTGACACTAACAGCTTTGACCTCTGCAGGTTTGGGATACAGCTTCATTTTCACCCGAGCTCTTCTCTGGTATACGTTTCAGTGGATAGCCTATGGGGAGTCAAAGGTGTTCTTTAAAAGGGATCACACACTTTTCCCTTTCTTGCTTGTCAGTTAGGAATTTTAAGTTTAAAAGAAACAGTAGCTCTGTTAGGCAAGCTCAGGGATGCAGACTGGTTAGATTGTGCAAAGACAGTTTAACATCAGAGAGCAAAAGTTAGCAGAAAAAGTAGGGCATTTGATCCTGCACCATCTCTCTTAAGACTTTGCCAAAAAGAAGCAGGGACAGTTGATCTATTTATGAGCCCATAACTGCTGCCCAGCACACTGGAAGAAACAAAACATGTCGAAAATAACAAAGGACAAAAAACCATACCTTTTCCAATTTTTCCGTGATTTTCTCTTTGTACTTTTTGAAAGCTTTTGTCAGCTCCTCAGCATTCAGCAAAGCTTCATTTCTTTGTTGTTCGGCTCTGCAAAGAAACATATCAACTTTAAAAAACGGTCATAGTAATTACATAACTATCTTTTACAGTTACAGAAAACAAAACAATTAAATTAACAAACGGTTAATTTTGGCAACTTCCCTTCTCCTTCCAACTCTTCAGTTCTTAAAAAAAGGGTTTTTAAAAATCATTTTTGCATATATTACCATAAACTAAATCCAGATAATAAGAATGTAAAAATAAATTTCTGATGCTTCTCAAAAGGTTTGTGATTCAAGTCATCCTGCAGCCCCCTCATCCCTACTACTAAAAAACATTCCATGGGATTGAGGCGCCATGTATGATAAAGAACAAGGAGACAAGAATGGTCCTTGAAATTCAAAGTGCTTAAGGGGAACTAGAAGTATTTTAATGCTAAGTGAACAATGTTGGGACTGACCTCCTTCTTTCTCCATCTTACCTTCCTCCACACTTGCTCACTTGGGAGGAAGTTGGAACAGTAGCCTTACGACAGCTTAAGGATGCAACCCATTCAGGATATGCAACACAAATGCAACAGAATTACTGCAGGTAACTAAGAATTTCTTCTCACTCCGTGAACTGTGGGGACATGGCAAGTCCCTCATCTAAGTACAGCCTACCCCTACATGAGTGTTTCTCAGTCTGAGGACCATTACCCAGTCACACAGTACCTCTTTCCTTGCTTGCTTCGTTCAATTAACTCAATTTTCAGATTTTTATAGTCCTCTTTATATCGTTGTAACATGTGTTCTCTTTCCTCTACCTTTTTCTGGCTTTGCTCCAGTTTATCTTCTGCATCTCTAGCAGAAGAATAGAAAGCATAGCTAAGGAACAGATACATTTTTGCTAAAGAAAAATAAGTAATTTATATATATATATGTATACAATATCAAGTATTTCATTTTCCTCTTCTGCATACAATGCTTGAGAAGATCATGCTGTAGATCTCAGAGCTAGGGACCTGCCCCAGTTACCAGACTGACCAAAGAACTCCCCAGGAGTATGTCTCTGGTCTGGAGGGCTATCCAAACATCATCAATAGGCTTCAGGTGTCAAGGTGCCAAGGACTTAGATGACAGACTTTGTTTCACAAATATCTGAACACATAAAATCACTATTTTTCTGGAATTAGGTAGAGTCATATACATACGGCACATACACGGCAAACGCACAACACTCCAAACAATATTTAAAGATAGTATTTTATTTGTTTTGCAAAAACAGGCTTGCTAAGGTACTGTTTGAATATTACATAGCTTCAAGTATTAAGAAACTGACAACCTCTGGCTATTTTGCTTACTTTGGCTTTATTTACTCACTTGTCTTAATTGACATACTCGAGAAAAAAGAATTTGTTATCTGCTGTGAGACTGCATTTGAAAGTATCTATGTTTATTTGCTATAAGTTACATAGTTGTGTAGTGTACAAACACTTGACTGCTAAAAGGGCATGGTCATGTTTAGCGTAATTAAAAATTTGACCCTTTACCAGCCTTTTTGATTTTCCTCTATTTCTTAAAGTACATCCTACACATAATACAAAGCAAAAAAAGGCCTTTCTCAAACTTGGCTTTGAACTGAAAAATGCAAAACCCAGGCTTCATGACCCTAATGGAATCATCACTATGTTATTTTGGAGAAAAAAAAATAAAGATTGACAAAGAGACCAAAATAAAATCTTAATTAAAAAGTACATTTACTACCTCAGAATTTTATCTTGAGCTGAAACTTCTGCTTCTAAATTTACAATTTGTTCTTCTAATTTAGGAATGCTGGCTGAACGGGTACCTAAAGTAACTTCAAGGTAAGAAATCTGAAATATAAACAAATTTGGAGTTTTATTAACACTTGCGTATATACCTTCAGATAAGATGCACAAGTATCTGTTTACGGAAGAGCATAGGGCCCTTAACTCCACTGTAGAAGCTGTTGTTTATATATACAAACTGACGTCCAACTTCCTGCTCATTTAATACTTCCCCAGTTCCTTAACACTGTTCCAAGATGATGCTCTAACAGAATATTTTCTTTACTTGTTGATCTTGTCTCTTGCTTCTCCCCACAAGTTCATGTTCCACTCTTTGTCCTTCCCATGACAAAAAATCGTTTACCTACTTATTTGTAATTAAAAATAACACTTCTCAAACAAGAAGTGTTAAGAATAGATACATTTCATTATTGTTACACTTACACTAAATACAAGAATATAATTGCTGCATGGGAAAATTATATATAAAAGTATATATGTGATAGTAATGATTCATTCTTTGCAATCCATCTTCACTATTTTTTCCCATGTAATTTGTTTTCCCATCTCTTCATTATCTAACTACATTTTAAGACGTGAGGGGCAGGAATTCCCCCCTCCCACAATAAACACAAGGTGACTTATTCTTATCCTGTATTTTACTGGCTTTAAAAAAAAAAAAAAAAAAAAAAAAAAAAGAGGCAATAAATTCCAGGTAGTTTTCGACCATGAAGAGACAGAATTTATAATTAATACAGTTATTTAATACCTTTATTTTCTGATGGGGAAATAGCTTCCAAACTACTGTCCTAAAATTAATGACAAACAATACTATATGTATGCATATATATTAACACACACACACACTTAAACAGAATAAGCAAAGACAGAAAAAAAGCATGTATTCTGCCTGCAATTACGAACTTGAAAATCATGGTCACTAGTGAATATTTATTTGGAAAATGAACACAGTAAATATACATACTCTTGTTTTTGACTGCATCAATTCAAAGCTGATTGTTTCAACTTTATTTTTTAGGTAGTGGTTCTGAGAAGTCAAAGATGCATTTTGTTCATGAAGTGCATTCAGCTTCTCCTTAAGATGCTTATTTTCTTGTTCCACAGCTTTATCAGAATTTGTAGATACTGAGTATGACTAGATATTAACAAAAAAAGAGAAAACACACAAAGAGAAACACATATAAAGAATATATATACCCAAGAATACATTATCTTTAAGAAACAGTGACATAGCAGCAGCACTGCACAGCTCAATGCTAAAGTATATCAACTGAAAGACAAAAGCATTCGCAAATGTACAAAAGACTGTATAACAAAGAAAATATAGTAAAAATAAGTAATGAAGAGCAATATTTACTTTGGATCTTCTTTGAAGATCTCTCTCCTGACAAGATGTTTTACCAGCATTTTTCTTACAATTGGAAGAGCCTTGATAGTTGCAATTAGGTTGAACTAGATCCTCCAGAGGGAGGTCTGCAGCCTCCTCGAGGTGGTCAGATTGCTCACTCGCACTAGTGCTAGGAGGGAGGTAGAGTCATTACTGCAGTTCAAACTACATGAATCTTCTGTTCTTGTTCCCAAACATGTTCATACCTGGAAAGCTCTTCCCCAACACTCTGCAGATCCCTTTCCGTTCTCCTCAGCTGACTCCGCAGTGACTCCACATTTGCGAGCAGTTCTTCATCATCGTCACTTTTAGAGTGAGCCCACATTCTTTACTCCTTTGGCACCATACATATGGCTAAATTAACATTTAATACTAAAAGACATGTAAAAGTACTTCAGGGGTATTTTCAAGGACACACTTTCAAAGATATGGAAAGGAGAACACACTCTTTTTGAACCACAGGTGCAAGCTAATCCTTTAGGCCACCTTTCCTGTTGCTACAGCACACCTTGCACACTCACAAGTCAGGACAGGGAATCTCCAGGAACTGGCAAATAGGCAGCTATTTAAAAAAAAAAAAAAAGAAAAAAGAAATCTATCCCCACAAGGGTTACTGCCACCTTGCTGGCTGGACAGCTACCCAGCCTGCACAGAACGAGGCGAGGCCAGAACCTGCACCGGCCATTGCTGTCTTTC